TATATATATATATATATATATATATATATATATATATGGACTGCCAAACGAGCTGCGGTGCAGAGCAGTCCAGAGTGTCCCCGATGCAGCAAAGTCAGTGAGCTGGCAGGAATACGATCCAGCTCAGGGAAAATAGATCAGACAGAACAGTTCTGGAATCCAGGAGTCCACTGCCTGGTAACGGGTTCCAATCAGGAACAGACATATCCAGGGTTCCAGGAATTCACAGTGTGCCAAGAACACCAGGAGTCCAGAAGCGAGCTCAGACCGACACGCACAAATGTAGACAGGCAGGCCCAGTAGTTGAGGGACAGAGACAAGACATGTTACCAGGATAACTGCAGAGCATTAAACTGGTCTACTCTCCACCTGAGATCAAGGATTATGGGACTTTAAACTAGCTTTCTCCCTGCCGAGCCAAAACAGGAACAGAGAGCACTCAACGGGAAAGAGCCAGGGCACGATCAAGAGACAAGACAAACACTAAAAAATCTCTCAACACAGAGGCTAGTGAGTGAAATAAACAATTAAGGTCAGCTATCAGGGGAGATCATGACATTATGTTGGAAAATAAGTATTTGTCAAATAGAAAAAAATCTATTTAACACTTTGTATCATTACTTTTCTTGGCTGTAACTGATGTTGAATTTTTCCAGGTGTTTACCAGGTTTGCTCACACTTTATCTGATATTTGAGGGCTGTTGTTTGACAACACAGGCTTTCAACTCATTTCCCAAAGCTTCTATGAGGTTGAGATCTGGAAATTGGCTAGGCCTTTGCAGGACCACAAAAAGGTTTGAATTAAGCTACTACTTCGATGCCCAAGAGGTGTATTTGGGTTCATTGTCATGCCTGAAGACCCAGAAATCCAGACCCAGAGATCCTCAATACTCTCATTGATGGAAAGAGGTTTTTGGTTAAAATCTTACAATACATGGCTCTTAACAAACAGCGTTTGTAGTGAAATCCTTCAAAATGCCTCAATTTTAGTGTTGTGTTTTTTTAAGGTTTTAAAAAAAATGCTTGGATTTTAAATCTAGTGCTTGTAAATTTTTGATTTTGTAACCATAAATATTTCACCAGAAATATACACCTCACTTAACATACCTACGACGGAGTATTAGGGCCACACATGAAGAGAAAAAATATTTTTGCCATGACGAGATTAAACT